CACGATTATATCTAATTGTAACACCCATGATTAGAATGCAGTTCACGTTTTTTTTTTAAATTCTATCACTTATTTTATTTCTCTTGAAGACGCTATAAAAAAACATATATTTCTTTTCTAATGGAACGCCATAATAGTTCAAAAATTACAAAAAATCTTATAAAACTTTTATTATATCATAAAGAAGACTCTTTAAAATAAATGTCTAATGATCATTTCTTTGAGAGTGCTATCACAGTAAAGGATCTTGCGATGGGGATTGGAGGTACGATCAAAAGATATTTCTAATAAATGTCAGTAGTTTTGAAAATAGAATTTTCAACAAAATGTGTAGATTAAGAATTTTGGTATGAAATACTCCATATTGTATAAATGTTATCTATATACGTGTGCTTTTAATTACATTATTCAAAAGGTATAACAAAAATACGAAATATATTAGTAACAAAAATAAATGTAACGCTTATTAATTCTTAGATTTTATTACGAATAAATAAAATATTCGATTTATTATGCATTCAATTCGACGAAAAAATACTTCTTAATATATTTAGTCATATTAAAAGTGACACTTGTAATGTTAGAAATATATAAAGATCCGGAAAGGATTCGGACAAATGTGTTATTTCACATAGAAGAATATTTACGAAGGTTGCACGTGCACGTGAAAATCGAAACCCGATTAATAAAGCACGTGGCAATTCCTGTGGCTTCGAGCAAGGCAATGCTATCTCATAAATCAATCAGGTCAGATTCAAGGAGTCTACGTTGTAAGGTCAAGAGAATAGTGTCATTCGTTTCGCGAACTTGCCGCGTTTATCATGGATTTTACTCATAAAAGAGTATATCAGATTCTGTCATCTATACTGGAACCACTCGAGGTAGATTTGCCTACGGACGAGGACGGTGACGAGGAAGTGTAAATTTTTAAAGTAAAAATAAACATTAGGATTTATATTTTTGTTTAAAAAAAAGAAAAAAATATACAACTGTGTTTTAGTGAATTCCTTTACAAAAAGAAAAAAAAAAAAATACTACACAACATTTTGATTGAAAATTTTTTACCTCTAATATGAAACGTACGAGCAGTTATCGTAGATCGTTATCTACCGAAGATCTATGTTCAAATTTAAATATTATCGATGATCTTATAAATGAGAGATATATCAAAAAATCTAACACCTCCTTCAATGTATGCATCAATACATACATTATTTAGGATACCTCGATCGAATTGTTGATGTAAACGTGATCGTTGTTCATTTTTATAGATCAACAATGATACTAATTTGGTAAAAAACAATGACACGGAAAATGGACCGAATTATTGGCCAAATTGTGATGCATCTACTTGGACAAGATCTTGTGAATATGAAGTAATCGATCCGATTCCTGGACATATTGTTGGTAAAATACCAAAGTGGTTGAAAGGTACTCTATTGAGAAATGGTCCTGGGAGTTTGAAAGTTGGCGATTATACTTTCAATCATTTGTTCGACAGTTCGGCTCTTTTGCACAGGTAACAATGAAATATTTACTAAGAAAATTTGTTAAACTATTATCAAAACGAAAAGATTTATCATTAATTCTCATTTAACTTAATAATAAATTGAAAGGTTTGAGATATCGAATGGAAATGTAACTTATCAAAGAAGATTTGTACAGACTGAGATTTATAAAAAAAATAAAGCTGCTCAAAGGATCGTGGTATCGGAATTTGGTACGAAAGCTGTACAAGATCCTTGTCAAAGTATTTTCAAGAGGTAAGAAAAAAAAGAAAAAAAAACAAAAAAACTTTACAAATATAATATTTTAGATTTAAAGTTATTGACAATATATAAAGAAATGTATGTTGACGAGTTACTTACGTCTACTTATGTTAGAGTTGCTGCAGTATTTAATCCATCGGAAAGCTTCTCAGATAACACGATGATATCGGTTTATCCACTTGGTGACGAGTATTACACGTTCACGGAATCTCCCGTAATCCATCGGATTGATCCGGAGACCTTGGAGACCAAGAATAGAGTAAATAACGTTCAAACAAAAAGATATCTTTTTACCAAATCAATTGATTGACTTCATTTTGTTTTTATTTATTTTTCTTTTTTTTCGAATCTTTTTAGGTGAACGTATCAGATTATGTGAACATTGTCAATCATACTTCTCATCCTCACGTTATGAATGATGGAACTGTTTATAACGTTGGACTTAGTATAACTTCTCGAGGTCCTGCTTACACCGTTGTTTGTTTTTCACCTTCTAGAATTATTATTGGTAATTTAAGTGATATAATCTATTGAAAATTAATAATGAAAGTAGAAGAGATATTTATATTACAGAAATTTTATAATTTTTTATTTGTTATAGATGAAAATAACGAAGAAAAGGAATTATCAATGTTTGATCAAGCAATTATTGTTGCCACTTGTCCATCGAGATGGTTAATAAATCCTTCTTATATGCATACTTTTGGAATAACAGAAAATTATTTCATTATCATTGAACAACCCTTAGCTGTTTCTCTTTTAAGTATGATGGCTTGTCAGATCAAACAAGAAGCTATGATAGGTTGCTTGAAGTGGTATGAAGATAAAGACGTATGAATGTTTTCTTTATATCACTATAATATCAATTACTTCTATTATATGTGTGATCATATTTATATCTACCTAATTGAACATTTACAGACTCTCATACATGTAATATCGAAAGAGACTGGCCTAATAGAGAGGACTTTTATCGCTGAGACATTTTTTTATTTACACATTATTAATCAATTTGAGACTCGTGACAGAGATTACATCGTTCTAGATATCTGTTGCTATCGAGATGCAAAAATGTTGGAGTGTATGTATATTGAAACGATAAAGGTATGTAAATCGTTGTTCGATACTTAAAAAAAAAGAAATACAAAATAAATACTTACAAATATATCAATAATATAGTCGATATATGTATTATTTGCATATAAAAATAATTATTGATAAGAAAATTGATGTATTACACTTACTTTTCTTCTTTATAATTTTTTTGTATAGAATTTACATAAGAATCCAGATTACGCAAAATTATTTCGCAGTAGACCTTTGCGTTTTATTTTACCTATGAAAAAACCATCGAACGACGTTCCAATGGAATATAATTTGATCAACGTTAAAACGGTTTATCAAAGTGCTGAAGTTTTTGAAGGATTAAAACTAGATGAGAAAAATGAAGCTAACGTTGAAATTGTTGAAAAGAATACCTTTGAAAAAGATACAAACGTAGAGAAATCCAATGGAATGAACAAAAGGAACGAGGATCGAAGTAGAAATCTTTTGAGAAGAAAAGCAACAGCTCACAGATTACCAGACGGGAATATTTTGGTTAAACCAGAACTTCTTTGTGATTTGGGTTGTGAAACACCTCGTATAAATTATGATTCTTACGTTGGTATGGAATACCGCTACTTTTACGCGATATCCAGCGACGTTGATATAGAATATCCCGGCACGGTAATTACAAAGATAACATTATAACGAATAAAAAAAATTATTTGATATTTTATTCAATTAATACAGTTTATTACTTCGTCCATAGTTAATTAAAGTGGACACGGTGAAGAAAACGAAGAAAATGTGGTGCGAAAAAAATGTTTATCCTAGCGAACCAATTTTTGTACCTGATCCACATGGAAAGGTAATATATTATATTATATATATATATTTATATATAAATATAAGTTATCACGTAACAAAGTAAATGGTCGATTCTTTTACGTTTTAAAATGTGTTCTACCAGAAAGAGGACGATGGAGTGATCGTAAGTGCTCTTTTGTGGTCCCAGGATCGCGAGAACCAAGCTGGTTTACTGATTTTGGATGCTGAAACTTTTACCGAAATTGCGAGAACTACCTTCAATACACCTGGACCTGTACCAAAATGTTTGCATGGTTGGTTTATATTTAATAAATAATACTGTTCGTTAAGTTAACTTAAACACAGATAGATATTAATGGTATTAAATGTTTATATCGATTCGTGTTCTATATGGTAAAAAGTATTTAATGTTCCTATCTATAATAATAATAATAATAATGACGGGGTAATTATTATTGAAGTAAATAATATAATTATTTTTAAATGATAACAAGATTTAATATTTCATGTGTGTATTCCTAGATTCATCATTAGAACCTTTATTGTTTATATAATTAATTTTTAAAGTCATATTGTCATATATTATACAAAAAAATGTTTTTTTTTTACCGAGAATATTATAAAGATCAAATTTCCTGAATATCTTAATGAAAAATTAAGGACGATAAATTGTTTAGTATTATTCACAATAACGTAGTAATGTACGTATTTATAAAGTGCTATTATTATATTAATTTGATCAACTTTGTTAATTAATTGTTTTTAAGAGGATATATATATATATATATATAGAATGCATCATGGAAATAAAATTGGATGGAATGTACAATACTCTAAAATCTATGGGCTTTTGTAACATATATAGGATAGAGTACCCATTCTGATTACAAAATTTCATGATATTATTGTACGCGTCTTGTGTTTAATTTCTTATTAATTTATAACGTTGAGTTATATATAGAAGAAAATATTCAAGGTAGCTTAATCTCTTACGTTCATGACATTATTTGTCAAAAGATAAAAAAGATTTGTTTTTATCTAAATACATTTTTATTTATTACGATCGCGTGCATTTATTATATATTTAGATAATTAAAAAAAAAACGAAGCAAACATTATTAAATTAAATGCATATAAATATTTACAATTGCCAGTATATTTTTAATAGAAAGAAAAATAATTATTAGTTAAGTTATTATAAACGGAATTAATGTCATGATCGTTGCGATAAGATACCTTCGTATGTTCTTTCCTTAATATCAGGACATGCGATGCGAGCGTATTTCTCTTATATCTCAATCAATAAATCTAACAATTATAATAAATAATAACCTGGCACAACCATAGTCAGATAGTTAGGAGCTAAGGGAGTTTTTCCATGAGTGCTATATCATCCTTGTTCTACTTAAATAATTACTTTCTTATTAACTAAATTACGCTTGGATTTTTGTGCTTTTGTTTTTTTTCTTTTCTTTCTTTCTTCCTCTTTTCGGACATTAGGATACGATCTTTTGTCTTTGACACTTTGAATCATTTTGTCCATTTTTATATTAAATAAAAAAATACATTATTATTATATAATTTATCCTACTTATAATAATAAAGAAATCGTGATTCACGCTACAATATTGAGCATTAAGCCTTATTTAGGACCATCGATGCTTGTTTCACTTTATACAATGATGAATTATTTAAGATTGATATTCACAACTTTCATTTTTCTTTGTTTTTGAATATACACTCGCAATTGATTTCCTTATTTGAATTGCGAATCATTTGGATTCTCATTCATGCTTACGCACTTTAATGCATGTGTATATATATGTAATGTATATGTTACGTATATTTATATTATACTATATTGATTTATATCGATAGATGATCAAACATATGTTACCGTAATATCTTTCAAGCAAACTCATTTACATAAATTTACCATTTCAAAGTTCTTCGTATAACTATGTATATTTATTTATTTATTTATATGTATATACATATATATATAAATTTCCTTGGATAGAATTCTTCCTACAATGACATTTATATGTACGAATAAGAGATATCAAGTGACACAAATAAAAAAATATTTGGTTACGTCTAAATAGTTCCAAATTAGAAAAATAATATGATTCAAAAATTGATGTCCAAATTTAAGTAGTATTTAAAGAATTCTCTTTCTTTCTCTTTTTCTATACATATAAATATATATATATACACATATCAGTAACTGTTTTGTACACCTCAAACTTAAGTACGAGAGGAATATATGCAAGTTACTGCCATTATGTGATGAAGAACTTGTTGCTTATACATATACCACATTAGGAAATTATAAGATCGCAAAAAAAAAGTAAGGAATAGGTTAAAAGAGGCGCGCATCTCACAGGTGCATCTTTCAGGTCACGCTACTCACACATGCAACGTGACTATCACATTTGTTGTTTGCTATTTCTTTTTCTTCCTTTCTTTCTTTTTTCTTTCTTTACTTGTCATTCTGTTTTTTTCGCATCTTTCTCTCTCTCTCTCTCTCTCTATTTATCTCAAACTTTTTCAATTTTCTCATTCTCGATGGAACTAACAGAGTTCATCGTACTAATGTTCTTATTTTCTCCTTCTGTTTCACTCTTTACAAGACTGGAATTCGAAGCATCAACGTGGGATTCCACATGCATTGGCAAAATTCCTGCGTTAGCGTCCTCGATGGCTTTTCTTAACTGAAATCAAATAAAAATAAAATAACATATTTATTTCGATGACTTTAGAAAGATATTGGTCAATATTTTTTGTTTTTTTTTGATCACGACAAACCTCTTTTAATGCAACTACTCCGACCAGCCTTCCAATGGCCGTCACGTAAGCATGGTTCACACCGACCATGCTGAAAAGGCTATGGACTTTTAATAAGGACGTTCTTTCTACAAGTTGGAACGGTGCCGGATCGATGTGACACCTAGAAAAATCAACTTCGAGAGCCATCTCACTTTCTTCCCATCTTTTTTGATCTTCGGCTGACATATCGATTACTCTTTCCCTTGGCTAAACAAAAAAATAATAATAAATGCATAACAATGTAATGCTTTTAAAATAAATATTAGGGGGACCGGAAAATAATATCTTTTCCATATTTGTTTATCATTTTTTCATCAATCATTTATCAGCCCAATGTGTATTTTAAAATTCATGTTGGAATTGTAATGTATAATATTTAAAAACGAAATTACTTTTTGGTCCCCCCCCTAATATAACGATCACGAGAATAAAAATATTGGTCAATTTTCGAATACTCACCAATTGTACTTTTTTCGACGTAGCTGGACTAGAAGAAAGCATAGGTTGATGTACCTGAGCGTCCATACCATCCTGACTTTCACGTACCGTAGTAGGACCCATTTCTGGATCCGGATCAACATCTTGCAAAGTTGCTGATTTTCGAAAAATTGCTTCAAAGGCCAGACGTATTCTGAAGATTAAAAAAAGGATAAATCTTTGAATATCTAGAAGTTCTTGAAACAGTATAAGAACGTAAAGATAACGTCGGTTTACCTGCTTTCTGCTCCAGTAACTGTTGTGTAAGGTGTTACAGCTGGGCTGACTAGCGGACTAAATCCTTTTAAGGTAAAGGAATTGGTTTTCTTTAAAATAGATTTCTTTGGTTGTGTTCCGAATACTGGTGAATGGTACGTATGCTAAAATAAAACGTAAAATATGAGAGTGCAAATAATGAATATATTTTCCTTAAAAAAAAGAAAAAAAGGAAGAAAAACATCGATCGTTTAGGGTCTGACGTCACGTTTAACAACGCTACTTACATGATCCGTACCGCCACCGTTATTTGCCGACATCGTTAAATCATTAACACTTTGTCTTTGCATTTTAAGAATGTCCGGTGCTGGGATGACCTCGAATCTGGAAGGTCTCCTTGTTCTTTCTTGTTCTCTCAATTGACGTTCCATCTCTTCTTTTGCTCTTTCCTCTGCTTCTTTGTGCCATTTTTGAGCGACCTATAAGCGAAATATAACAAAATACAATAGTATAAAAAATACAATAAAAGGAATCTTAAAAGATACAAATAGAAAGTGATCTTACCTGTAATCTCCTTTCACGTCCAATATGTTTTTCTATTAATTTTATCAATTCTAGCCTTTGAATAGAACCCAATAATATCATAGATTCTGGATTATCTACAAGCGGAAAGCCACGAAGTTTGCGATTCTCCTTAAGTATCTCTTTGAGTTTTTGATAAGTGATGCCGTGCCAAATGTATTTCACATCGCGTACCATAAAGTCTTCGACGTAAACGTTGTACATACCTGTGAGAATTGTTTTATATTATTTTACAAGGTTTCTTAAATGAAAACACATATTCATAGAAATGAATTGAAACTATAGCGTTACCTTGCTATGAATCCAAAAAAGAATGTTTTATAAGACAATTGTATGAATTATGAGTACGATCGATAGGGTGATTAAGAGAAAAAAAATACAAAAACAAAAATAATGAAATAATGTAGAAAAATAGATAGAAAAAATGTACCTGAACTCGACGGTAGAAGATCCGGTAGGTAAGGTAATTTTTTGATAAGTATTATGCTGTCGTATATGCTCGGTTGTAACAGTGCAGCAATCGCGTTACTGATCAATACTGCTATCATTATTGGTACAATGTGAGTGATTTGTCCTGTCATTTCAAAAATGATAACGCTTACGGAAATAGTATGAGTTACGGCACCGGAAAAGGCAGCCGCTCCTACAGTAGCGTAACCACCTAAATAAAAATAATAACAATTTAATATTTCGTTAATATAATTACGAACTTGGATAAATTCATTGAAATATATTCAATGATTAAATTACCTGGTATAATTGGAGTAATAATTCCATTATATCTAACACCAGTCGGAAACCAAAATGCCATTGCTTCGCCAACGGTTCTTCCAAGGGCTGCGCCAATTTTGAAAACAGGGATGAAAATGCCAGACGGTACGGGTACTGTCGAGCTTATGATGGAAAAGATGAACTGGAATCGAATCCCACTCTTTCTATTGACTGCATTCATAATATTCCCTTATATGCGAGCTCTCTCAAATAATAATAAAAATATAATTCGCGTTACCGTTGTATTGTCTACTTACAGTGAAGAGAACGTAGCTGAGGAGACCGGTGAAGACGTCGGTGTACGGAGTAGACCAATGTTTGACTATATTCATTTCTTCGACCCCCAAGTTATCCTTGGTCCAAGTAAAATTCGTAAAAAGTCCATATACCTGATCGTGAGTGTTCAAATCACCGGCCATAAATTGGCCTAATCCCAAGGGGAACGACACCGATGATACCAGAAGAGATACGATACCAGGATATAAAAAGCGACTGGAAAATATGTCATTGTTAAAAGAGTTCATGAATTTTTATCAGAGTTTAAATAAAATATTTAAAATAAGAGTTTACTTTTTCTGAAGAAAGCTGTTCATACTCTTATTTTTTCTCATAAAAATAACGTATTGTCGATGCAACCAGACGTAAAACGCACCACTTAGGCCGCTTCCAACACCGATAAGAGCAAAGACAAAAAGTTCGTAAGGATCGAACGGAAAGTCCATAGTAAAATTGGTGACAAACATAGCCGTAATAGTTTCTTCCCTTTGAAACCATATTGCCAGGAGTCGAAACATCGTGGCACCACATACGGCTGCGAAAAAACCACGCCAATAATTTCGTACCGCGAAGTATACTGTAGTGACCTCGATGCTGAAGAGGACACCTCCGATGGGTGCCGCAAAACATGATGCTACACCAACCGCGCAAGCGGCAGCTAACATTTCACAGTTTCTACTTTCGTTTTCGTAAATGCCTTGAAAACTGGTGACTAATTTTGATAAAAGAGTCGCTACGATGCTGGCAATGTGAACGAATGGACCTTCCTTTCCCAGAGGCAAACCTGAACCCAATGTGGCTGTTAATCCGATCACCTATTGGCAAGCAAAAGATAAACGATTAATTTGTTGTTTGAAATTAAAGGAAAAATTGAGTATACCAACCTTTGCAATAAGGGTCCGAAAAGTTAAATACTCTTTCAAAGCTACACCTCTTAAAATAGTTTTCATTTCTGGTATACCAGAGCCTATGCTTTGCGGTGCCACTATATGTACAAAACCAGCACTGAATAAAATTAGGCAAACGGGCAACGAAACCCATGCGAGATACTGGAGCGCTGGATGAGACGTCAGATCTTGATATAGCCATATTCTAGCTGGTGAAAGAAACAAATAGATTATTAAGAATACTTAAGAAGAATAAGTGATTTTGTAAATATTTCTATTAGGTACTTAAGAGAATTTTGCATGATATTGGAACCTCGGTAATACGAGATAAAATTTTTGAAGGGGTCAACAACTTTAGGTATTTAGGATCAATCGTAAATCACACGAATGAAATAAACGAAGAACTGAAGAAAATAATCAATTTAGGCAATGCATGATATTATTCAGTCAATAAACTATTCAGCTCACGGGTGCTGTTAAAGCGCTTAAAAATTAGAATATACAGAACGATCATTCACAGCGAGACATGTGGTCACTTACGTTATGGGACGAAAAAAAATTTAGGGTATTAGAAAAGAGTTCTTCGCAATGAGGGAACAGACAAATGAAGAAAACTACATCACATATAAGTACACCGATTGTAAAATAAATTGGACATTATTAACGTGTAAAATCACGCCGACTAAGATGGACAAGCCACGTGGCATGTATGGGCGAGAAACGAACAGCGTATAAAATACTGATCGGTATACCTAACGGGAAAAAATACAATAATAATAATTAGATACTTAAGACTGACCGTTGTTGCACATTGAAATCCCACGATCCATGGCATAACTGATGAGAGCCATAATAACACCCAAAAGTGCCAAAAATACCCAATCTTCGCCCAATCTAGCTCCTGTGTGTTTCCAAGCAAAAGCAAGCAATGCCAAGAGTTTTCTACACAATGGACCTCTTCTTGATTTTCTAAGATCCTCGGCTCTCGTCTTGTCATACTTTTTTCTTGCCTTCTCATGATACTTGAGTCTTCTTGCTTCTTCCTTCGCGTATTCCCCAAGGTCCTTCGTGTAGCGACCATACATCTAGGATAGAAATCGATCGAATATCAAATTGTGATAATATAATACACTTTTACGTGTTACGCAAACACAACATGCAAATCATAACCGAGAAAATGCTGAGAATATAATAAAAGCTAGATAAAATATACTAACTCTTAATAATGATTGTTTTTAAGAGCACTGGCATATTGTTGATAGCAATTTCAATCATTTTGTAGCATGCGCGTTTTATTTTGTTGTTTTTCTTGTTTTTTATTTATTTTACAAAAAGAAGATAAAAACTATAATAATATATAAAAAAAAGAAAGGAATAATTTCGATAATTGACAGAAGAAATCCGATGATATCTCTTGTGTCCACCGCAACGTTCGGCGCGAGACTGCCGACAAATTTCAAGTATGTACTTTTAATATCAATCTACCTAAACACAATCAAATTTTATCTAATCTGTAAAAATTCTGTCAATAATGGATTGACAATGAAATCTAAATTTAATCAAACTACAAATTATTATATAATCCATGAATTTTTATCTATCGATTTTAAGATCTTGATCGTTGTTTTAAATGTTGTTTTTTTTGTATATTTCTATCGCTTCCAAATAATCATAGAAATAAAATCCCACACAGATTTGTTGAATATAGATCAATTTACAAAAAAAGAAAAAAACGTAAAACCAGCCTAAAAAATTCACGATTAGCACCAAAAGAAACTGAAATATGTGTTTTAAGCACATGATAGCACGTGTTCGACTATTACGTTTCTACAATCGATGATCATCAAGGCTTACCGATTATCTATCTATTCCAAATTTAAATAGCGAGATAACAACGAACGATATGTTATTTTAAATGAAATATTCTCAATTTTTACGGCATAAAACATATATCATACCATTTATGATAAGGAATGTCGTTATCGTTTTAAAATTTGTATGGCTCATTACCCTTCAAATTTGAAATTTTTTCTTTTTATTATCCTTGAAATAAATGATATATATATAATGATATATACATATATGTATATATTTAATGCGATGATTATGATGAAGATAGTGATAACGATGACGACAACTGGAATTGATGATGCAAGTGGTCATATAAAATTAGATACACTTAAAATGAAAAATTAGTCATTCGAACAGATGGAGGATATAATAAATCATCATTACTGTATAGAATAAACAAAATTCGAATTATTAACATATACCTATAAGACACACACAAAAATGTGAAATCAAAAAAAAGAAATGATTTTTATTAAAAATGAAATATATATTGTTGAAACGATTAATTAGAAACGAATAACAAATTTGTTGTAAATTAAGCAACGAGCTTACACTCACAATGTAGTCATCGTTACAGACAAAGTATGCCCTGTTAAGTAGAACGGCCGGCATGAAAGCTAATAATGATATTCTCAGAAAGAAGTGATGGAAAATAATAAACGTCGATAATTGGAATAACGTCTCAAGTAATTGATGACGATTTTTTCCAATTTTCCAACTTAGGCTGGATCTTTATAATAGATAGATCAAACATTCTTTTTTCCTTTTTCTAATCATCCAATTGATGATGATTTTCCATATCGATTATTTGATACGCTCAATCGGTGCTCTCTCTTACCAAATGTGGTTGTTGATAGATATAAGAAACAACTCTCCGATACGTATCTCGTCGAAGAATGTTCCTTTTAAATTTGGCAAGTCGTCGTTTAAAATCAGTTTGTTATTTCTGGCAAAGCAAACTGATTCTTCTTAGGTTTAGCGGCCTATCCTTATTGTTCCTTGCTCTTGGCAATCACGGTTGAGTGAAAAGAGAAATAGAAAGATAGAAAGATAGAAATAGTGAGAAAGATAAATGACAGATAACACGTAAAGTCACACTATTATAATAATCTTATAAAATCCATGTTCTCTCTTTTTCGTCAAATCGTTTATACTCAATAGATAATAAAACAAATTTTCACGATAAATATTTTTCTTAATTTTCTTCATCGATCGTTAAATAAAATATAATATCAGTTTATTAACGTTTATTCATTAAATCCTTGCAAACTTCTTTTTTATAATCTTCCTTGCTTACAAACACGATGATCATTTTCTTCGAAAAACTTTTCTTCTTATTACTAAATCATCAATTACTAAATTGATGATTTTTTCCGTTCTTTACTTTTCTTCTATGAAAAAAAATGGATTTACTGTCCCCGTCCACACTTATTTGCATGCAGAGGAAAACTGCGGAGGAAAACTGACGACGACGACAGTTTTCGTACTTCCACTACCAACATATTTGTTGAAAATTGGCAACGATCGAAATTCTTATTTTTAGCAATTTCTAACGTGCAACGTTAAAGGGCGGATCCTTATTGTTTACAAGGATATAATTACAATCCTTAATATTTCTATTGACATCAAACACGTATTTATATATATTTTCGTTTTACTTTAACAATTATTTTAATTATGAATTAATTTTTATCTAACATTATAATATCAAAATCTATATATTCTATATATACATTTATCTATCTATTTGTCTCTTGTTTACGCACGGATGTACACATCCTTTGAATGTTGGCTATTATATATGTTCGTGTCGGCTATTTTTATTGTTTATATTATCTTTATATTATATTATATATTATATTTGTTTAAATTATGAACAGAATATAAAAAGAAAAAAACCAAAAAATATACAAATTGATTTAATATTTGTCTGTTAATAATATTCTTTAAAAGGAAAGTATCATCATCAAATGTTCATGTGTACTGATTTTTGTCTCTGAATATCTTTTGAACGCTTAATTTAATCGCCAAAACATAAGACACCATTTTTATAGAGCAGTTCATTTCCTACTAAAATTTGTATTGCGCATTTTATAATAGTCATTTATTGTCGAGTTATAAAATTCTTAAACAAAAATGAAATTTGTCTTAAAATAATCTAACTTAAATCTTCAATATCATTCAAATGGTGAGGTTTACGGAAAAAATATAAGATACCTTTTTTGTAGAACATTAAATTTCCTACAAAATTCTTCTAGAACATTTTTCTATACAATCAATTAATGATGAGGTATGAATTTTATCCTATTGGACTAAGAAAAAAATAAAAAACTGCGATGCGGAGGATCTTCCTATTAAAATTAAGAGCTCATATTTGGTGAGAATTCTTTTAAGGTGTTTAGCAACCCATTTTTGCATGGCAATTGAAAAAAAAAAATTGATTTTTTTGACCCACCCTAATATATATATTCCTTCCACACAACACAAAGTGTCGGCGTTGTTCTATTGGGCAATCAGTTTCTAATCCAATTTTAGTAATTAGACCTAACCGATTAGCGATACAAGTCATTGGCGCGTATACACACAAGCGTATATAAAGTTCCATTAAGATGTAATGGAACCCTGGGCGTCCTCTTTTCTTGAAAACTTACAGAAATAAATTTCGAGGTAACGACCTTCCCCTCTTTCTCTGCTCCTCCTCTTCCTCTTAATCCTAATCCCCTTCCTCTACCCTTCTAATCGTATTCTACGGAAAGTCGTTTATACCACGAGTATATTTGACGTTATATAATTAATAAGAAATTTGTAATAAGAAAAAAAAAGAAAGAGAAAAAAAATTCTTAAAGTGAATTAAAAACGAATTTGTAAAGCTTTTCATTCCTATTGTGACATAGGAACATTGAAATCAATCATACATTTACTTATTATTAGAATTATATTTTTATCTAATATAATATTAATCTAATTAATATTATATTATTATATAATATAAAATATATATTTTTTATATATTTAATATAAATTAATATTTATTATAATCTAGACAAATAATATAAAATAAATATGCGATTCGTTAATGATTGCGTTAATCAGAAAAAAAAATCTTAGCTATAAGCGAATATAACAAAATGCATGTGAATGCATATATATATATATGCATAATGGTTTATTATAATTTTATCCTAACATGAAATAACATTTTTAAATGCCGATCACGCATGCCCTATAAGCTTGCACAATCTTTTAGAATTTATTAGAAAGATCAGACTGCACATTGAGCAACGCACGTGCGCACGTGCGCGCACGCGCTCATACAATGCGTTAAAGTTGCAAGGTCGATGATATTCTCTTCGACAAGGTTGACTCGTCGTCTACAGACTCCGACTATACGGTCCAAACTTTACGATAAATTATAACATTTATTTGTTTTGTACGAAACTCTTACCCATATAGATATATATATATATATATATATATATATATATATATATATATATATATATNTATATATATATATATATATATTCATTAAAATCGAAAAGTTAAAAATGAGGATTATTACAGATGATTGTTAAAAAAAACGAATTGTTGTTAAAATTATTTTTCGTTTATACACAAAAAGAAAAGAAAAATGAAAAAAAAAAATAATATTAGGGGGAAAAAAGGGAAAGAAGAAAAAAGTATAATCGTAATTGGTGACTAAATCCTAAATGTCGGTGTCGTTCGTGCTAGGATTGTTTCACGCGAATCACGCGGTGCACCTAAAATCGAATCACGTGACGCGACATGCATATATAACTATATCGTTCTACGTTTATTTCAAATGTAGCCTCGTCGTGTACGCTTGGCGATCGTTCAAAGGTCGTGTCACTTTGACCATCGTACCGTTCGTCACTTTACGGACCGTAGAAAATCTCTCTTTGACCGGTCATAATTCATCCACCCCCATCCCCCATATTCTATTCCCCTTTTTTATCCAAATTTCATCGAATCTTCGATCAAATTACATATTTTATTTTTCTTTTCAATTTTTTTAGAAACGATTTTTTAATATTTCCAATTGAATTTATTATTTTTTAAGATAATATAATTGTATAAAGAAAAAAAATATAATTAATAATTCTGGATGATCGAAGATTTATTATAGAAATTGATCTAATTGTTGGTTAAAAAACATCATTGAAATATAACAAAAGATGAGTATTGTTCTTTCTCGTTGGCAAGCAAAGATTTT